CAGATCCAGTTAAGAGAAATACTTTGCTTCAAATAATTCCTCCAACAATTCCTCAATCACCGGAATAGGAAATTTGTCTTTGATTGTCTTTGCATTAAATTCTCGTTAATCTATGCACATGTGTCAAGAACCGTCTAACTTAGGATCAAGGAGCACTGGAGATGAAAATGCGGATTAACTAGGCTGAATTATCCCTTGCTTCAACATCTTTGAACATTGTTGCTCAATTTCATCTTTCTGGCCATGTGGATATCAATATGGTTTGACAACTTTTGATTTTGCCATTGGTTCCAAAATAATATGGTGATCACATGCACGAGAAGAAGGAAGGCCCGTGGGTTCCTAGAATAAGGAAGCAAAATCCCTCAAGAGTCGCTGTAAATCAGCATGGTAATCTTCTTTTGCTGTAATAACTTGAATCTTAGCACTTTGGGCTGGTTTGAAAGTTCTAATTCCATGTCATTCTATCTGCTTCCCAAGTTTAGTAAAAGACATCCACATATCTGTAAAGTCCCACAAATTGGGCCCCAAGGTTTTTAACCAATTGACACCAAATACAACATCAAAACCACTTAAAGTGAGAACATATAAATCAACAAAGGAAGTGTGATTGGCTAACTGGAGTGACATTCCTTGCCTTGACTTGGACTTTTAATTCTCTCTCCATTTACAACAACAACCCACAGTCCATGTCGTCCTTCCACCTAGAGATTAAATTATGATACAAATTTGGAGTCCACAAAACTGTGAATACTACTACAGTCTCCTAAGGACAGAACTAGGTTACCATTCAATTTGCCTTGCAAACACATGTTCTAAAGAGTACTAATACCGATGATGGCATTCAACAAGATCTCCGATTAATCAGTATTGGGAGGTGGCTCATATTCGGTGCTCTTCGTGTCTTTCTTCAACTGAGTCAATCCAGAATAATTTCTTACATTGATAGCTTCTGATGAATGGTTCATCACAATTGAAGCAAAGACCTTTAAGCCGCCTCTCCTCGAATTTAGCCCTAGTCAATTTTTTCAAAAATCTCGTACGATGTTGAAATGGTGTATCAGGGGGTTTTGATCGACGAACCTGTGACTCGGACTGCCCCTGGCGCTCATAGAGCCAGGATATACTCATTGCAGTTGCTAAATCTGATGAATTGTGGAGCTCTACTTCGACTGCAATGTGTTTCGCAAGGCCGTTGAAGTAAAGTTCAATTTTTGGTGTTTGAGTGAGAGTGTCTGCCTGTGAAGCCAATTGCTCAAATTTTTCTTGGAAATCTACCAGAAAACCATTGTCACAATTTCGTCAATTCTCCCTACTTATGACTCCTTATAGGTGGGCCAAAGTGCAAGTGACAAACGTTTGAATTCATCCCAAAAAGGTTGTGGCGTGTCAACTTCCATTTGAAAGAACCAAAGCTGCGCATTCCCCTCCAAGTGGAAAGAAGCAAGGCTAACCTTTTCTTCTTCGGGTGTTCGTTGGTGGCAAAAGAAATATTCACACCTGCTCAACCACCTTTAAGGATCTTCTTGGCCATTAAATCGTGAAAAATCCAGCTTTGTGAACTTAGGGATGATGGCGCCTCCCCGTGGTTTCAAATCTTGTCCCTCTTGCTACGCCTTTGTTCTTATGGCTTCGGTTGTCACTACCCTCCTCTGTAGATACAGTATTAACTTCGGAAGCTACTAAATCCCTCGTGAGTTCATCCAGTCAAGCATTTATTGCTTCTTGTAGGGCCAAATTTGCAGCGCGTTCATCTTGGAACAATTGTAAAAGTTGCTACAATTGTTGCTAAATAAGGTCCCCCATAACATTAGGCTTTGATACCAAATTGATATAGTCCTTGAAATGGATCGAGTTATGAGATGGTGTGTGGAAGGGTTTGGTTTAGTTTGAGGTACGCTAGGTACTTGGGTGGAAGGTTTCTTTTTTCAACCTATGCTTGTAGTGCTGGCTCGTTAGAGAGAACCTATAGATCTCTTGAGTTTTAAGTACTCAAAACTTGAATAGATTTTGAACAACTCTCTTTTATTAACTTCACCGCCAATTTAACTACAACTTGGTGGAACAACCACCCTTAAAGCAAGAAAGTGGAAAGGTGGAGACAAAACCTCCAAAATCATGAAATAGAAAACTACCACTGACAATAAAATAGGGTGAAGACACAACCTCCAACAACAAGAAATGGAAAACTACCACTAACAATAAAATACGAACCACAATGAAACTTTTAATAAACTGCCAGCAATCAATCAGATATGTTGATTTAGTCTATATTTCCCATGTGTGAATCGCTTGTCAACTAAGGGATTATCTGATATGCTATCCGATACTATGTGGATTTATAATTAAAAAAACTAAGATTTGAAAATTGATTTTTTAAATTTTAATTACACATGATATTATAATAAATAATGGTCAAAGTATTTTGCCTTTCAAAAAAGAATAATGATCAAAGTTGGTTTTGTTTAATTACAGTATTGCAAGTTGACATTCAGTTTGATATAGAAGGAATAATATTTTTAACCTATTTTCAACTTTTACTTGAGTTTTGAATTGAAGCTCAAACTCATAACATGAATTGAGTGTCAAGGTCTTCACATGAATTGATGATAATAAGTAATTGTGCCAAATCAAGTAAAGCTTGAGTAGCTCGATTAGTTTTCAAGCCAAGCCCAAACTAAAAAAATAAAACTCCACCACGGTTGAGCCTTAAGTTTTTAATTGAGTTGTGCTAAGCATGGCACTGTCTCAACATGACTTGGCTTGGTTCAATTACCCCCTAACTTAGAGGTAAAGGTTGGAGGAGATCAAAAGTCCATTTTTGTTTGAGCACCATCGGTGCTGGCGAGAGCTAGTCTTCTAATGAGTTTCTATCAACTAGTATCTTGGCTCAAAATATGGAAATGGCAAAGGTTAATCCAAGTTTGCACAAAGAGGGAGAGAAGAAGAGGAAATCCATTCTGCAACTGCAGCTGCAATGGTAGGAAGAATAAATTGACGGCATTGGCTGTTCTTTTATTCTAACTTGGGCTTGGAAAAGAAGTTGATATTTGGACCTAGATTTCATTCGTATGTGGCTTCGTCAAACAGGGTTATGGTGAAGGATGATGTCAATCTTGCCAACAGCAACAGGGTTAACAACTTGAACCTTTTTGTGTCTAGGGCTCTCAACTAGTTGATTATATATGGGTTTTAGGTTATTGAAACAAAACTATTTAATTATTTTTAGACAGAAGCAAATCATTTGAAATCAATAATAGTTAAAATATATCTAATAGATATAAAGTTTTAAAAGAAAAGGCATTTCTTTTATTTTGGAACAATAAAAATAAAAAGAAATCGTATTTATATGAGGAACTATATTTTTAAAATCTTCAAGACTTTTCAAGACATATCCAAGTATCTATTTCCAACTTTTGGACCCTTCGTAGTTGACTTTGCAAGTCGAAGTCTTTAAGAAAAAGGGAAGTCAAGTATATAGACACATATAGCGTGTTTCATGATCTCAATATCAACCATTATGAATGATATTGCCATCTAAAGAACTGTTCAATGGCTACCTAACCTAATTCCTTAATAAAAAGGTTATGCAAATGTGAATGAAATTGTCAAAATTTAAATTTACCTGAAATTCCAACGAATAATAAAAATCACATCATAATCAACGCATCAATCTCTCATCTTGTGAGTAGCAATCCTAAAATGATAGCTCTACCTTAAAGAAATACCATCCATTATGAATGGAAAACATCCTAATTAATCTTATCAGAAAGTTAAAAATAATCTAAAACACATTGTCAAGCATTTCATCAACTCTTCAAAGCATCAATGAGTGACTAACTACCCAAAATCATAGTAGGGAGCAAGACAAGGATGCCTAAACTGACTACCAAACCAGACATTCAATACCATTCTAGGGTTTAGTTCAAAAAGAGGTATGGTTTGTGTTAAGTCTATTTTTTCACATCAATTGTTTTCGAGATTTGTTGCAACTTTTTACTTGAGTTAGGCTTCCCAACTTATGGAAAATCGATTTTATATGGGATGCTTAACATGATATCATAGCCAATTTGCCTGTTTACCTGTTTATTATGTTAGTTGTTTTTTCTTGCTCTGAGTTCATTATCACATGCAGAAGACTTATTTGTCTCCATAGTTAGTATTTTGCCCTTATGTGAGAGAAGTAGCTAAATGGTGTCATTCCATATCAGTAGAGTATAGGTTTTGTTGTGGCATGCTATTCACATTCTGCCTCTCCACCAATTGTCAATTGACAAGTTGGATGCCTAAATCCGCTGGCATTGAAGTGAGAAGCTGCTTTTCAACCTCACATCAATGCCAAACAACCAAAAGATTTTGGCTTTTGATCCACATCTCCAATTTTTTGTGATCCTCGACAGCCAATTTCTCCAAAATTACTTTTATATCCTTGTACAACTCAGCATTTCATTTTTTAATGTCTTTTTGGACACTTTAACTCATCACAACACTTTTTCACAATAATGCCACACACTCAAAATTTTAAATCACACTTTTCCAAAGCAGCTTTCCACACTAGTTTTCCAACCATACATTCAACTATGTAATTCACTGAACATGGTTGACAATTTTTTTAATAATTTTGAACAGGATAAAACAGTTAATCAAGTACTTTGAGTATAGACAGTTAAGTAATATTTGCTGAAATTTTGTATCTTGAAGAGTAACTCATTAGAAAAGCATAGAATTTGGTTTTTCTAGCTAATAAGTTGACACATGAGCGTCTGAGATTGTATTTTATTTAATTTCGTTTTTTTGTTAATTTTAGTTGATTTAGGAATTATAAGTATAATAAAATTCTTCCTTTACTTATATTAGGACTTTTAAGCTAGTCACGTTCTATTTAGGAATAAAACACTTATTTTATTTAAATCTCTTGTTAATTATTCTGATTGTATTAGACAACTAAAAATAGAGTTTTATTAGGATGTGGGCTTATAATACTATAACCAAGACCCTTAAACTTAGTTATGGGATATCCAAGTTGAGAGTTAATAAATAATATTTTCTTAAGCAGGAGTGCTTATTTCTCTAGGTTTTTTTTCAAGAGTAAGAGGTTTTAATATCTTTGGCCTAGCCAACCAAAGTGGGATTTTGGCTATTCTTCACCTCAGTGGGGTTTTCTAACCTTGCCAAGATTAGTGGTTCACCTTAGTAGGGTTTCTAACCTCGCCACGATTAGTGTTTTTCACAACGCCCCCACGTCATAAGTTCTAGCCTTAACTGAAATTGATCTTGACAATTGCAGGATCCTAGATTTCAGATCTAGCAAGGGAAGACAAACAAAAGGAAATATATCTTTTTTCTGTGATTTGTCCAAAAACAAAACGAATCAAAAGTGTAGTTCATTGGCAGGTTTTAGGGACATGATTACACATTGTATATCAGAGGAACTTTGCTAACCCTAGCAAAAGAAAATAAATAGTAAGAAAGTCCAATGATGACAACTAAATATCCAGTGTGCTCCCGTTTAGTTGTAAAGTTAAACCCTTGCATCCACAACTAATGGTTTTTATGGAGTAAGCAAAGGATCAACTGATTGAACCCTATTAAGGTGGGAAAGCTAATTATGGAAAAGGTGTAGGAAACATTCCTGTGGTACCCTAAACCCTGACACTAAAGATATTAAAAAAGAGATTTTATGACCTCACCTCATCAGTTAACCATTATTAGGATCAAAAGGTAATTATCTAACAGTTCACGCCATGAACATCAAGGACTAGTGTAACCTGTCACTTTGAGACCATTGGTTCCAGCTAACTGCGACCTAACGTGCTACTCCATTCAGAAGTTCATGTTTTGTCAAGTAAACAATCCTCACCTGGTGGAGATTCATGAACTTTTGCCTTGGTCTGTAAGAAAGAAAAAGAATACATATTTTCACAATCAGATGAAGAATCTCTCAGGCTTTTATCTTATTGGAGTTACTTGGCTATACTTGGTACGTTGTGTTGTTATTAGGGTTTTGGTTTAGTTTATTAAATACTTCAGTTATTTCAGTATCGGGTAGGTTTTGGATGATGAATAAAATCGAGTATTGAGATGTTTCGCCCTCTGTTGATTATTCTGGTTTTCTCACCCTACATCTTCTGTTTCTCTTCAATTTCCACTGTTCCTCTCCAATTTCTTCTGTCTAATTCTAATTTTCCATTTTATCTGTAGTTCCTGCTGTTCTATATCACAATCACCTTGTCCCAAGGTAACCCCACAAAGAAAGAATTCCAAGCTTTATTGTCAATGTAATCTCGGAATAAAACTAAATTTTTACCATTCCCTATTATAACTATAGAACCAAGTCTCAATAATAAGGTTACCTCAACCCTTCTTTTGGAGCAAAAAGAAATTTCGAAACAAGGTCCACAGAAACTAAATTACTGCACTTGTAACTTTTGAATATGCATGAAGAGTAAACAGGTATAACCCAGGAAAATACCTGATATCTTTCGGGATCAGAACATTCACGATAAAGTGATGGTCACCTCTAACTGAAGGTTTATTGATATCTGGAATCCCCAGGCGTGATAGTTTCACTTTATCACCAGGCTGAATCCCACAGGGGATTTGAAGATCTTTCATACCTTCAACAGTTTCTACCTGAAGTTATTTTAAGATTAATGATTAGAAATTAAAGATCAGAAAAGATCTCTCAGACACATAGAAAATAAAAGACCAGAAAGCTTAAATCAATGATGAGCTTGATCACACACAAACCTAAAAATATTAAACACAAAAATAAGTGTACACGTGCTTAGCTTTGTGGTACTTGAAATGAGCTCAAAACATTCAAAGCACTTGAATATGAACTCAAATATATCCAAACAGAACTACTTTTAGTGGTTTTATCCTATATTGTTTAGTTTGGAGTCCATTGTGGTCTTGTATTCAACTAGGGCTCTCCCACAATTGCCAAGTCGTTTTAGATTGGATGCCTAACATGGTATCATAGCCCAAGTAGTTTGTTACCATATTTGTTCTTTGTAGCCCCAGTTTTTTAGTTACTTTGTCTTAGTCATTCCAGTAGAGCAGTACTTGAGAGAAAGTCCGTAAGTATTACTATCCCACATAGATTTCCTTTGGAGTTTTTTGTGGTCTTATATTTCGTTGGGCCTCTCAACTTATTCCACCTATAGCCAAGTCATTTTGAGTAGGATGATTAACAGCTAACCAAATGCAAAAAGGTTGGTTCTTGGGCCCTAAGCATCACAGAAATAGGTTATATTAAGAATGTGAGTTCTTAAAAAGTGATGAATACAAATAAAATCAGGCTTGTAGAAAGGAAAAAGTTTGTAACTGAAAACCAACATAATCTTTTGAATCTATTTTCTAAGTGCACCTTCAAGCAGGGACAGTTCAAATGCATGGGCTGCTGCGATAATATGGGACTCCACCTTAGCATGAGCTTCTTATTTCAGGAATAATATGGTGCACTTTCAATTATTGTTTGCATGTGGAGTGCGCTAACTGTCTCCACTTTGTTCAGACATAAATTAGACAATCCAACCCATATTTAGAAGGTAAAGGCAAGGCATACCCAACCCCATTCTGAATTCACGCTTTCCCTGCAAGGGTTCAGAATACAAAAAGTCGAAAATGGCATAGCTGTCATCTTCAACTGTTATTTGTAACTCGTGATTTTTTTCCTTTGCTTTTTACTTATTTCATTATTTAAAATGAGTTATGATCTATGTTAAAAATAAAGCATCAAATAGGCTTCTAGAGTAAGTAGATTGAGGAATTTAAATGTGTTCCTGCCACTGTTTTGTGGGTTTATTTATGGCTCTAGCAAACTTAGTTAAAGCTTGTAAGGGGAAGAAAGAAATTTCTTAACTTTGGCATTTTACAACTTTGTTCACTATCAGTTTGAAACTTTATTTTTTTTTTAATTTTTTTGCCTTTTAAGTGTTTCCATGTGATGTTTTCTGAGGTTTTGAGATGATGTGTGTACATTCGATTTCTGAACTTATGTTGTTTAACTTTTATACTAATTTAGTTATCATTGGAAACTTGTATCTTCAATATGGGATAATGCTATGCACACAAATTTTTATTAAATTAATTATTTCTAATATGTTTTTAATAAAAAAAAGAGTCCAAAAAAGGCTTACTTTTCTTAAACACCTTGCCTTATACATTCAATTTCTTAAACATAGATATATTAGCCATAGGCATTAAGGTTGATGATTAAACGAATAGGAAGATAGAAAGTCAAAAGAGTACCTTCACCACTGTCCCAAGTATTGCCTCAGTGTAGCCAACATTGATCTTTGAGTAAAGATTGAGGCCATCCCTCCAAATTCCTTGCTTTTCACCTATATGGAGGACTATGAAGAGATCACCAGCTAATCCCCTAGAGTGGAGAGAAGTGGTTGTATTTTCATAAGTTAAAAGTTTCCTTCCTATAATTAACATAATAAACCAGAATGTATAAGATAAAACAAAGGTTAAAAAAATTGAATCATTAAGATTTTCAAAGTACAAAATGACTATGGGGAAAAAGATAAGATGCCCAAATCTCAACCTGAATCTTTCTCTTTTTTTCTAATAAGAATGTAATGGCTGAGGAACCTTATTGTACTCAAAATTAACAAAAAGCTGTTCGCCTGAGCAATCACCGTCCATATTTATAGTGTTGACGTGGATAACAGTAAAACAAATGAAAAGTTGAACAGCAAATATATGACGGAGAAAACAAAGAGAAAAGTCATTTATATCAAATATTGAAAAAACAAATGATTCATGAACATGATTAGTTTCAAAGAAAAAGGAAAGAGAATATACAGCAGCTTGAACCAACAGGAGAAATAGCCTCTTTCACACAACAGAAGTCAACAGAACCAGTATTCCTAAGTTTTAACACAAGCATCACTTCTTGATATTGCTTTCCACTTCTCTCAAGTCCATCCCTAAGATCAATCTTACTCAATTTGGGTGCCATTAGCCCATTACATTGTAGAAACTAGAGAATCACAGTAAAAATCTACCGTCAACTTACCCAACTTCAGATCTCCAAATGCATTTATCCAAAATAAGAAAAAAGAAAAGATCTCCAAATACAAAGACCATGCTAACACCAGCAGAATCTCAACTAGATTATATACCTTTTCTTATCAAAATTGCCCTCTCCTTGTATTCGCATTGTGGAACCGTCACTAACACCGGGCGGTATGATGACTCTCATGCTTCGTTTCACCTTGACTTTACAGCTGCCACCACATCTTCGACATTTATCAGTGATTATCTTGCCATTGCCACCACATTTTGAGCAAGTAGAAACCTAGAAAGCATAAGGTATGATTATAGAGTACATGCCAAAGATAGGAAACAAATTCTAAAATTATAGGAGGGTCAAGTAACATATTGTTAAAGTTAACCAATTGCACCCATGCTTACTAAGCTTATACTGGACTAAATGTCTCAAGCTATGAGCCTTTGAAGCATATGTAATGCCAGCTTGAGAGCATCAAACAAATTATGCAATCGATGACAATAACGGTGCTAGCATAAATATAAAACTCATGAGAAGGAAAAAAAAGTAAGCATGGGATAAGATTATTTAAATCTTAAACTACATGGTACAATAGAAAGGCAGACACTTATTAAGTCTCAAACCAAGAGGGGGAAGGCTTATGACTTTAGAGGTACACAAAGCTGCATCATATTATTCCCAAAAAGATAACTCTCTGCATTTAGGAATCATCAATTTGGAGGTATAATGCTTCTTTCAGACTGCAGATTACCCTTTATCAACATAATGGAAATTGTAAGCCTTTCCTTCCATATCACACCGTCCCAACTATTTACTACATCCTAAAGTCATACTAAAGCAAACCTGGAACCAAGATGTGATCGCTGTCAAAAGCGAAAATAAGAAGGGGAGGGATGGGATGTGGAAAGCCTATTCTCGACATATGTCACAACCCTCACTCAACCTGAATAATTCTTATTCTTTTCTTTCTTTTTTCTCATTTTAAATGAGATTTCCAAGTTCAAGTAAGACTGGAGCTTTGGTACCATAGGAGCTCAATAGGCAGCATGGATTAAACCTATGAACTCAAGTTCCATATAAAGTATGTAGATAGTCAGATAAAAAACTACTAAAGTTCCCTCTATAAGTTGGCAAGAAAACCTCCAATAGAAAATAAAAATTTAGAAACAAGAAAACTTTAAGACTCAACAACTATGGCAACATCAATCACTTTAATAAAGTCACCATGTTAATGTACCTGTGATACCATTCCAAATGGAGTCCTTTGAGATTTCATGGCCACTCCTCTACCTCCACAACCACTGCATGATTTTATGCAACTACTAGATTTAGCACCTGTTCCACCGCAATCATCACATGTTTCAAGACAGGAGATCTTAATTTCATGCTCTCCTCCATACACGGATTCCTCAAAGTTCAAATAAAGGTCATACCTGCAACATTATGAAATTCAAAGTGAGAAAATGAGAATTATGTACCAAAAAATTGGGTTGCTGCCCCAAATCAGTTCAGATAAAAATTAATTGTACGGGGAACTATAGTTGATTGCAAGTAGCAGCTGTCTTGTCACAGTTCAAGGACTGTCAAGTTACATGAAAGGAGGAATCTTTGAAGACAAAGGTTCCATAAGTTTCAGCAAAAAACTTGTGGAAAAGAATATATATTTTCGTCAAAAAAAAAATGTCCAGAAAAGAAAACAACCGCTATTACTTGGTTTAGGGGCCTAAAACATAAAAGACAAACAAGAAAATGAACCAAATCCAAAAAAAACAAAAGACTTAAATTAATTATAATCCAATGGTGTATTTACTAAGAAAAAAATAAATTACAAATATGTTTAATGTTTCCAAGGGTGCCCAGAATCGACTTCACCATCATCTTTACTATCCTTTTTAACCACTTGCCTATAGTCATTAGGGTATAGGTATATAACCAACAAGGCACAGGAGAGCATATTATAGACAATGCAACATGATTTGGTATAAAAAGACTTCATGGCTGATTATAACACAAATAAATTTTCTCCAACAGCCTAAGCTATCAACTGAAAATAAAAGTTTTGGAACACATTGAAGCATATTAAGCTTAGGGTGCACATCGATTCATGTTCCACAGACAAAGAGAGAGAGAGAATCAAAGGAACACTAATCTTTAAGCCTAAAACAAGAGGAGATACATTTACGGCTAAGTAATTAGGGTAAAGGGTGTATATTCTGTACTTAATATGTTAATATATACAGGAGACTATGGCATTGGTAGACTGTCAAGTTATTCTCAATCTACTCTCCCCCCACACATTCATTTTATAATAAAAATATTGAAGTTAAAAAAAAAAAAAAAGATGTGCCATAAGGGGTTTCCTCAAGTTTTTAATTGATCATATGCACCATTCTTTGACTTGTTCCTAGCTTCACTAGATCCTCATTTAATAACTGAAAGTAAATGATGAAACAAATGGCAAACCACTAGAATGCATGTTAAATTTGTTATCAACCTTATAAAATATTATTTCACTGCTAAGAAAATGGGCTATAACTTTAATATCAGAACAAGAAGGGTAGCACTAATAAGTAACAGCCAACAACAATCATCCAAGTAGATGTTACCGAATGTCAAGACTGTTGTTTCCCTTATTTCTCAAATCGAAGCTAAAGCCTCCTGGTTCACCCATTCCACCAAAGAAACCATCTGAACCGCCAAAGAATGCATTATACACTTCAAATGGATCAACCTAAAAATGAAAATTTGATCTATTATAAAATGTGAACAATAATCATGCATCAGAAAATATTTCAAACATGTAACTGCAAAACAATTGTTCCCGCCACCCCCGCCCTAGTGCATTACCTAAAAAAACTATGACGGGCAGGGGGGTAGATGCATGGAGATTAGTAGTGAACATAAAACAAATCATTCAATACTTGCAGTTAGCAGTAGAATTCACTATGAGCTTACCTCTGGTGAAGCACCACCTGATCCATCATATTCTCCTTGTAAACCTGCCTCACCAAGGCGATCATATAAAGATCGTTTCTCATTATCTGATAGGACCTACATAAATGCTTCATTACAACACAACATGAAAAAGAAGAATAAATTGCAAGTACAATACCATCAATAGAATCCAACAAAATTTATACGGTTTTATCTACCACCTCAATTAAAAAATTAAGGAAACTGAAAAGAAATCTGAGTGCAGAAAACCATACTAAATGAGTGAAACACTGAAGATGAACAAAATGACAACAATAAAATTTTATCATAGTGACTGAAAACAATGCAATACGACAAGGAAAAGATTTTGGGATGAAAAAATAAGAATACTAATAGACAAAGCAGCATTTTAAAACAATAGTAATTACCTCATATGCAGCACTAATCTTTTTGAACTTCTCTTCTGATCCAGGACTCTTGTTCATATCTGGATGATACTGTTTCAAAGGATATATCAATTATTTCACAAGATGCAACCTAAAGAATCAATAAGTGAAACATAAACTCGCATAGTCCAACAACTTGGACTTGACCTAGCAGTTCTTAACCCTCCCATGAAGGATCAACATTCAACGTCTAATTCCCTTATCCGCCCTTAGCCTTATTAGATTTATCAAAAATAAAATAAAGTAAAATAAGTAGGAATATACCAAATGATCAGAACTTGTGCCAACATATATCCTATTCAATCGTTTTCAAATTATTCATGGAGAGAGTTTTAAGGCGAGACTTGAAAGTACAGTTTTGCTTCAAGTAACAACAATAAAATACTCGTTTGGCGAACCGAAGATGTCTTCCACAAACATATGCAATATGGGCAGGTCTGTTCTCATAAAGAAACAACATTCTTTACATACAATACACAACACTTTGCATATATAGAAGGAAAGGAATAGGGAGGAAAGTAAATATCAGAAGACTGTTGAAAACTCTCTTTCCTTCCCCATTTTTATTTAAGATTCTGGAAATAGAAGGAAGGAGAAAAAGAACTACCCAGTGAATATATTTACTATTGTCTTAGTCCTTATTATTCCATCTACTTTTCAGTTAACCTCTTGTAACCTAGGGAAGTCTATCACCCAAATCTGTTGCAATCTATAGCTTGTTAGGTTGTTGCTATTCAAAGAACCAAAGACAAAACAATTTCCTAACATTTACTAGTTGCTCTAGCACATTAAAATGATTTCTCCTTACGTATTTCTTTTGGTGGGGTAATCCAATTGTTGGTTGCCAATCATTCTTTACCATCCCAAATGGTAGGATTTGTATGAACCTCCCAAACTGTGGGCCAGCAGCCTGCCTCCCACCCCTCTCTTCCCCACCGCTCCCCCCCCCCCCCCCCCCCACAAAAAAAATGCAAAAGAAAAAAAAACTATTCAAATCCCAATGCATCAGAGACAAACTAAGGCTAGCCATAGCAAAAATTTCTTATTTGCAGAGATCATTTCACCCTCAAACTCCGATAACTATACATCCAGTATTCACAAAACAAAAACCTAAAATTCCTGATCTCTTAAGCCAAATCCATATATGCTGATCATCAGAAACCTAGCCTAGATTCAAACCCAGATAGTCTAGTGCACTTGATGCAATAGAAAGTTTCTTAAAGATAGCACTAATAATTTTAGGGTTTTTCAATTATTTTCATTCTCCCCATAATTACAGAAACCTCGGTTTTTTCTACTTATTAAAGAAGTGGATTTTCCTGCTAATAAGACAATGATGTCACTTGACACTGGCATTAGGCCAAAGACAGTCCATAGCTTCGGATCAATTCAAAGACATTGAATGCAACTAAAATACACTATTCCAATTATCTAGTAGCTTGTGTGGATATCTCAGAAGAACACTCACTATTCAAAGCAACTAGTTGACTGGCATGACATCAACTTCAACTCTCTCTTTGAAACAGTTTTGAATGAGTTGAATTTTCTCAAACTTGATAACTTGACTTTTCCCTGTTTATTTTCTCATTTTCTCTTGCTTTAAACATAGTTACAAAAAATAAGGACCATTCTTACTTTTTCTCCGCATATACAGTATACTAAAGTTAGAGAGCAGGTATTATTATTAGAACAGTGCCTATTTTCACCTGTTTTGAGTACCCTAATTGGCCAAGGAAGGTGAACACAGTTTCTACTCTTTAAATTTTCCTATATTTCTGACTTTAATGGGCCAATAGTATTAGGCCTTGGTTCTTTCTTTTTACAAATTTAGGCTTCTTTCTCACACAACTTTTTAGCTTTTTTTTTTTTTAGCTTTAATTCTCAGCATCTTTAATGGTCTTTTCTTTTCAATACAACAAAATTGCAACAATTGAAACTTACTACTTGCCTAAAATTTCCCATTATAAAAAAAAAAAAAAAAAAACTTGCCTAAAGTAGTTCCTTACCTCTAATTCCACAACATTAGAATAAAAATCAGTCAAGTAGAATAATTGAGAGATTTTTGACTTTAACTATGAAAATTGAGTCCAAGCATTAGGAATTTATGGTATGAATAAGGAAAAAAAAAGGAAAAATATTAAAGATATTTTATGAAAAAATTAAAGATAGAAATCAAGAGGTGACAACATCACTTTTTAATAGAGAATAATATATGGTAATGGTATGTAAATATTGAAAATTGGCATATGTTTTAACATTTGGGAAAAATTTTTAAGTATCTTCTTCTTATCAAGCTCTCAATTACTTAAAATTTTAAAGGGTACAACTCCTTGATTAGGAGGTGAATCTATAACCAAGTGTTTTTTTTTTTTTTACTTTGGATTAAGAACTCATATGCACATTGATTTCTAAAATGGTTCATCTAAAATCAAAGCAATCAATTAATTAATCCACTATATTATATTTCTTTTCAATTCATTACATTTATCATGAAAATAAAATTAAAAGAGAAATTGCCCACAGCAATGCGTGTTCCCAAATTTCAAAGTTCAATCACTTTCTTTTTTATTTGTAGTCAACAATTTACAATCCTTCAGTAGCAATGAAAAGGCAAATCCAATGATTGAATTTCGACAAGCAAAGATCCAATAAAATCTGCCAAAAGATATGTAGTAGGCAATTGCAGAGAGTGCAACTCATAAAACAAATACCTTGCGTGCAAGCTTCCTGTAAGAGGCCTTAATCTCTCGCAAAGTGGCGCCGGGACTGACGTTCAAAGTGGAATAATAGTCAGAGCCAGCGGCCCTGATTACGCCGCTGCGACGGCCTTCCCTTTTGATGACACCAACACCAAAATTAGGGGTGCTGCAACCCAAGCCCAAATCAAAGCTTCTACTGCCACTGCCAACGCCATGATATACAAACCAATTGTGTTGTCTAATTGAACAGCTTCGAATTGGCAGGTTTACATTGGCATAGAAAGGACAGGAGATTATGGGCATTTTTCTCTTAAGAGGCTTAGGATTTTGCGATTTGTTGCTGGGTTTTTGCTCTTTCGACGAGCTTTACTTAGCTTCTTGTCTGCTCACTATGCTAGGAATGTTTTCTTTTTTGAATAAAATAAAACATATATTTTAATTAGTTTTTTAAGATTTTTATTTGCGAAAAATACCCACTCACGATTTTATCCAATTTAATTTATATATTAAAAACCAAAATAATTTAATTATTTAATTTTAAAAATTATTCTTATTTAATTCCTTTCTCTAATCCAATTTGACCATTAAAAGACATTACATCGATGTTAACGTGACACTTATACTACACATTTCGATAACGTGATAATTGAAAAGTGATCGATATACTCATATAATAGTATCATATCAACATTTTAAGGTGACGTGGTAATTCATATTGAAAATGATAGTACCACATGGCACTACCATGTGGTAAACCAAAGAAAAAAAAATTTTAATTCAAAAAAATTGAAAAAATCAAATTAAAGAAAAGCATTTATGATACAAGGGCTAAATTGAATAAAAATTCAATATATAGAAGTTAAATTGAATAAAATTTAAAGATTAGATTGAACAAAAAAATATAATTGACTCACTTTTCAGATTATTAAATGTCTTTTCTTGTTAGTATCGTTTCAATAATATATATATTGAACTAAAAATAAAAGTAAACAGAGCCATATATTAGCTTTATGGTTGCTTTCAAAAATACTTCGACAATTATAATATAAAAGAAAAGACAATAAGAACATCAATCTTTATAGGAAAGAAAGACACTTATATATATATATATATATATATAAATGCAAAACAATTTACCAAACCTTTACAAGAGGCTTCTAAAGTAACATTACTTTAATCAAAATCAAATAGAGCCCTTGTACAATATATGTCAATTACAAAACAAAGCCACTTATATATATATATATATATATATATATAATATTGATAAAAACACAGTAGCAACATTTACACAACATTTAAGTACCTAGTAACCAAACTAAGTATACCATCTAATTATACCATGACAACATATAAACCTCGTAACAAACTACAACAAATTTTAGTGATTTTTAATGCTTTCATGAGTGGGCAAATCAGCAACCTAATCCGATCTACTGGGTTGCTTCTATTTTGCAATTTCCTATGGCAATATGAACAAAATCAGTATTAGAATTGCAAAAATAATGCTAAAGCAATATGATCATAATGCAAGTCACAATTTTTCTCACCAATGACTACCTATTGGATATGAATGACATTGAATCGCCGTAGTCGATTGCAACAACCAATTGATTTAGCCTTTCAACCTATTGAAAGATGCATACACACTAAATCATTAAATATCTGACTAGCAAAATCATTCAATAACATGACATGAATAGGGACAAAATTGTTACTCACATTTATAACAAAAATCTATCTTGGAAGAGCTATAGGTGTTGAGACAGATTGGGTTTAGCGTTTATAGGTTGGTATCCCTTTCCTTGCAGGGCTTGCATTCTTCAATTTTAGTCTTAGGATAGCAACATCTTTTGACTTGAAGCCTTTTGTAGTTGTAGCAACAGATTAGGTTCGTTTAGTAGCCCCCACTTTTTGCCTCTTGACAACGGTAGATGCAGTGGATCCAATAGCACCTTAACTTGCATTAGTGGTAGGTTGACTTACACCAGCAGCACGTCACTTGGTGCACCAGGAGTAGGTTCGATTAGTGCACCACCAGTAGCTTCATTTGCTATACTAGCAGAAGATTTTCGCTTTCGACTATGACTTTTCTGTGTGCTTGTCTAACCCTAGACATGCAAATTAGAAAAAGTAAGTAACCAGCAATAATTTGACCTATTATGTCCTTCTTGATACATAATAAATAACACTTATTTGGTGCATAGGATAATTTGACCTATTATGTCATTCTTAATGGCAAACAGAGCATTTTATTATCTTTCCAACCATTAATATACTTTTCTTTAGCCTTTCACCTTGATCTCTTTTTCTCTCTTTCTTGGGTTGTCTAGCATATCACTTCACAAATGGAGGTAAGATAACCTCCACATTCCACTAAGGCTAGAGCATTGGCCCTCTGACAAGATGAAGCAGTTGTTCGTAAGTTTTAAGGTATTCACTTTTTTTAAAACAATTTGCTAGATACTTTGTATAGTCATCTCCCTCATAATAGATAGCACTGATGGCATGCGGCATGGCACTCCACTAATGTCTCAAGCCCGGTAGCTACATTTTACATGCTGTAAAGATACCGTGTAGCTATCCTTTACTTGTTCTTTAGGATTTTCCTAGAAGACTTCATACAAATGGGCCCTATTTTGATCCATCTCCCATTTAGCTACTAAACCCCTATACTTCTCTAATTTGGTGAGTATACGAGGGCCATACTCAATTTTCCACTTCATTCCATATTCCCTATTCTGAACCAATCTCCTCATCACATAAACCTTGATATCCTTGAGCATGCTAATGATTGCTTTTCATCTTGCTTTTGTTATAACTCTATTAAATGTCTCGTACACATTGTTGTTAATGACATTACACTTGGAAAAATCGAAAAAGAATGCTTGACACCAGCGCACAGCATCCTAGTTCTTAATCAAATGGTTGTATACAGCCTCATTCATGAAGCACAAAAGTTCAATTTGCCTCTTGAACTCTATCTGGTTTAGAGATCTAGCACAATGCCAAAATTAGAACTTTAAGTCTTCATCTTTGAACTTTTTCCCCCACCTCACAGTCACATCCCATTTTTCGAAGGGATCGTAATCAATGCGTGGACCCAAACAAGCATAACTCGTTAAGCCCAAATAAGTCTCTTATCATAACATTATTAACATTATCGTAGTATAGGTATTCATACATCTCAGTACACAATTAAGAAACTTCTCAACTTAATTGTGAAAACTCAAGAATTTATATATAAAAATATATCAATAAGTGCCACCGTTAAAGTGCACATTAACATTTAATATCAATAGCACCATTGGGTGTCCATATAGCCTCTCGAGCTACCATCATAATCTCATACATAATATATTAATGTAAAATACCCAATATTGGCAACATCAACGTAAACATGTTCATAATCTGAAATTATAACATAAAGTAAAGACCAATACGTCAACAGAACATGACTGAGCCTTTAGGCATCAAGTGGCTACTAGACACCTATCAAAGAATAAAGACCGATCATTGGTATCTGCGACATTGACTATTGTAAGACACTATCACTAATCTGCAACAAAATAAATGGGAAAAATAACTTGTGAATCACAAAAACTCCATGAGTGGATATGGGAAAGGGATAAGGCACGAGATAAAATTATTTTATAAACATGCACTTGTAATTTCATGACATTCACAAACAATTTAATCATAGAATTCATAAAGCATGTTATTTGAACATATTTGAATAGCATTCGTTTGAAAATATGTTAATATAAACATTTGGAAATCCTTTACCTTTGAAATTCTCATTAAATTCAATCAAACAACCTATTTTGCACCAAACCTATCGATACATTCTTAAATGTATTTTTGCTTTCAAGCATCTATCAATACATTAGTAAAATGTTTCGATACATTTGACACAAAAAGCCTCTTGAACCATTCTATTTAGAATGTATCGATACTTAATCCATATGTCTCGATACTTTCAGCCCAAAGCCCATATTTTTGAGCAAAATCTTCCATTTTTTCACCATTCTTTTAAGTTTTCTTACCTCTTGGAACTTTCTCTAAGGCTCAGTCTTCTTCATTAAGCACAATCTCATGCCATCATAGAGTACAAATTATGAACAATGCTCAAACAACATTGGTGTGCAACATACCATGAACATAATAATTATGATCATTCCATTAATATTAAACTCATACTTTGTGATGGTACATTCTCCATCACTTTGGGCATACAATGTACATCCTTATTGCCTTTGGGCACATTTATGATGCATTATAAGAGTGAAGGCGTCACTTGCACCTTATGAGCGTGGAATCAATCACACTTATAGAGTTCTTATACTTATAGCATTAGGTATGTGGAATGTCCTTCACATACAAGCTTACTCATCTTATAAGCTATATGGAAAATACATCATATACATAATCTCATGGCCTTCATCATGCTTTCTTAATCAACTCTTGTAGTATATGGAATATGCATCATATACATAATTTCATAGCATTCATCATGCTTTCTTAATCAACTCTTGTAGTATATGGAATATACATTATATACACAATCTCATGGCATTTATCATGCATACTTAATCACCTCATATAGTATATGGAATTTACATCATATACACAATCTTACAGTATACACCATGCATATTTAATCATCTCATATGGTATATGAAATTTACATTGTACACATAATCTTATGGCATTCATCATACCAAACATGCATATTATAGCATCTATAAATAAACATACCATATCTCATATCTACATTAGTTCGAAAACCAGAGTAATCGAGTGGACTTCAAACATAAGGTGTTTGTCTCATTTGTTGAAAACTAATACATAGTATAATATTTACATACATAGTAGATTCATAAACAATTTCAAAATTATTGTATCAATCATATTACAATCACTAAGAATTTATTTTTCTTAAAAGATCATTTTCATTCTTGAAACTCTAATCTTTTGATAAACCATTTTATAAATATCATTTCAACATACATAAACAATCCTTTTTATAGAAATCGTGCAAGCTTTGCATATTGAAATTATTTGAAAGTGGTGTATCCACTCACCAAGTTGGAAATTTGATTCCTAACTCCAATCACAACTCTGTTTCAGCAAATTTGTGAAATTTTCAAGTGTTCTT